GGTGGCGAGACTTGTTGCTTTTTCTCATTTCTCTCCCATTTATTATTATCATTATAATCATTATTACTCAATAAGCATTCATATTTAAGCAAATTGCTGTTACCCAAATCTGAAAAGAACCACTTGGATACATTTCTGAAGAACGGTGTAGGCCCGAAACGTCAGCCTTCCTGCTCCTCTGATGCTGCTTGGCCTGCTATGTTCATCCAACTCTACACCTTGTTATCTTAACTTGGATACATGCTGTGATCCTAGACAGCAGGGTCTTCCACGGCAGCGAGAAATGTGGACAGAGTCAATGGGAGGAAGGCTGGTTCCCGTGATAGACTGGTCTGCATTCACAATTCTCTGTAATTTCTTGTGGTCTTGGGCAGAGTAGTTGCTATACCAAGCTGTGGTGCAGCCGGATAGGATGCCTTCCATAGTCATTTATAAAAATCAGTAAGATTCATTGTAGACATACCGAATTTCCTGAGCCTTCTGAGGAAGTAGAGACTTTGGTGTGTTTTCTTGACTGTAGCAAGGAGCAGGATCGATTGTTGGTTTTATTTACTCCTAGGAACTTGAATCTCTTGGCCATTCCACCTCAGCACTATTGATACAGACATGGGCATGTCTTCCACGCTGCTTCCAGAAGTCTATGACCAGCTCCTTTGTTTTGCTGATGTTGAGGGAGACATTGTTATCTTTGGGCAGCTCAGTGGCTAGCACTGCTGCCTCACAGCAGCAGGAACCTAGGTTCGATTCCACCCTCAGGTAACTGTCTGTGTACAGTTTGCACATTCTCCCCATATCTGCGTGGGTTTCCTCCAACAGTCTAAAGATGTACAGGTGAGGCGTACTGACCATACTAAATCGCCCTTAGTGTCCAGGGATGTGGAGGCTGGGTGGATTAGCCATGGGAAATGTAGGGTTTCAGGGACAAGGTGGGATGCTCTTTGGAGGGTCAGTGTGGACACAATGGGCTGAATAGCCTGCTTCCATGCTGTAGAGATTCTATGATTACACCACGCCATTAAGCAGTCTATCACCTTTCTGTACTCTGTCTTGTTATTATTTGAGATCTGAAAAATTTGTAAATGGAGTTAGAGCTGAATTGGGCCACACATTTAATTTTTCTATTTCACTGTCCACCACTGTTCGTGACTGGATATAGCAGGACTGTAGAACCTGGACCTAACCAATTAATGGTGCAATCACTTGGCCTCATCTATTGCATACTCCTTCCAATTTTTTGGCATATAAGTAGTCCGGTGTTTCACCTTCACCAGGTTGACACCTCTGTTACGTTTGTCTGTTGATGCTCCTGGCATGTCCTTCGGCACACAAGGTTTGGTCTCCCAGATAGACAGTCATGGTGGCATGGTGCTAAACTCAGTCAGATGCTACCTTGCTGTAAAGAGCAACTACTCACTCCTCTTAATGTGATTGAGACTGGGGTTTATAAATATGGACGGCTATATGTCAGTTTCTCATTCATTTACAGTCAGTATGTAGCTATTTTTCATTGAATAGTTCATTAAATTTCGTGTCACATCACACTATTATGTGAATAAAAGTGAAAGTGGATGGCTTATTTGCTAGTCATGAACAAAGTATTTGCTCTTAAATATATTTGAAATCAATTTCATAAAAAAAACTATTCAGATTTGTTAATGAGAAAAAAGGAGTTTGCTTTTACATAGTGCACTAAGGCACAATATTGATTGTTCTGAAAGTTTTCAGAACTGACAGTTACTTCTTTTTGAAAAAAAGAAATCAACTTCAATGACGTTGGCGGCATTGAAAATAGCTCAAAGACTTCTTTTGTTTGGTAGACTTGGCTGAATATAACTAAAATGATCGAGTTTCCCTGAATAAAGAGGTCAGTTCAATATTTTTCAAACATTTTAATTCCGACATAAAGGGCATACAATACGAACAGTAGCAGTTTTTCCAACCACACCATAACCTTTACTGTGCAATACCAAATCTACTGTGCATAAGGGGGAAAAGGAAACTATTTGAGCAATAACTAAAAACTGACAAAACAGTCCATATGAACTGTGACTTATCACAAAATGTGATTTTAGTGGAGACATTTCATGCTGTCACGTATCCAGAAACTTCACTTTAGTGATTATATTGTTTCTTCATGTCGCAACCAGAAGTTGTATAATCCAAATAGAAATATGCAACAAATTATGTTGTGATTTTAAAACATGAGGAAGGCACTGTGCTGCAGTGGTAGTGTCCCTACTTCTGAGTTGGAAGTTTCAAGTTTCACTTGCTCAAGAAGTGTGTCATAACGTCTCTGAACAGGTTGATTAAACATATCTCTACCAGACTGGCAAGTCCCAACGTATTGCACATGAAATAGGTGGATTCGAGATTCCTTATATTTTAGTATCCTATATGCCAGTTATGTCATGGAAGAAGAAAGAAGCAAAAGCTTTCCTAGACATGAGAGAGAGAGGAAACAGATGACAAATCACCTTGAATCACCTCTGAGCATTCCTCACTGGTTGTTCTAAAGTAAGACTGGAAATATCCTGAGGCAAGTTGACAACCAACATCTTAGCAGGGTAAATATAGTGCTTGTAGATTAAGAAAGGGTAAACATTTTAAAAACTAACTAATGGATATACTCAACAATCCCACACCCCTAGCAGTGAGTTATTCTTCAACAGATCAGAGGTAGAGCCATAACACTAGAGCAGCAGTTCTCTGATCCATGCTCCTTTTGAACAGTTCCTAGTAAGAGCAGCAGTTTTATTCAAGATTACACCTCTTGCCTTCAGGTCGGATTATTATGGCAACAAGAGACTGAACACAAACTGGCACTCAGCACAGTACTGGTGGAATGCTGCACTTCAGCTAAAGCACTAACCAATGTAATCTATTCAGGTCAGCAACAGCAACCCACATTTGCACAGAACTTAACACAATCAGAAGGAAATATAGATATTTGCCATGCCTGAATGTTTAGAGGGATAACCAAAAGCTTGGATGAACGGATAGATTTTAGGGAGCAAGATGTGGAGCCATGAATGGCTTTCAGAAGGCAATTTCAACTTGGGCTCAGATAACTGAAGTTTTAAGTGAATGAATGGCCAGAAAACTTTGGAATTTAATGCCCTATCCTGTGATGAGTTTGGAGGTAAGGGTTGGTCGGGGCAATTAATCAAATGCTGCCTTCCCACACCTCCCATTAGAGCAAGAGAGAAGTTCTAGCACAGGAGGAGGCCTCCTAGCCCATCACATCTGTACCGGTTGAATAAACCAGCTGCCTATTCCAATCCCAAATTCCATTGCCTTGCAGGTTACAGTGCTTCAGATGTAGATCCAGCATCTTTGTAAATTATTTGAGGATTTTTCCTCTCCTACCAAACTGGGCAGCGAATTCCAGATGCCTGCCACCCTCTGGGTGAGATCTTATCTCCTCATGCGTCCTCTAATACTTCCACAATCACCTCAAATTGGTGCACCCTGGCACCTTGGCGCTAAAGGAAAACATTTACTCTGTCCAAGCCCCTCATTATTCTGTACACCGAAGTTAAGTCACCCCTCAGCCTCCTCTCCTGAGGACAACAATCTTGCCTATCTAATCTTCTTATCCCAATTAAGTAAGTGAAGGGAAGGCCTTTGTGTCCCATTTCCATTTTAGGGCCTCAATTGGCACTTAATATCCTAATAGGCCTCATCCTGCTGCTACTTGTATGAACCTAGCAGCAGGCAAGGGGTACACTTAGTGCTTGACCAAAGTGCTTGGCATCTGGAAGGAGGTGACTACCAGGATCTACCCCTGTCTATGATGCCAACAACACTCCTGTGTTCCCCAGCTCCATCTTTCCATTGGTCACCTGTGTCTTAGAATCTAACAGTGATACTGGGCCCGTTAATCCCAGGGAAATCATATGCTTTCCAGTTAAGATCTTGAGTGGCACTTAAGTCAGCATACCTTCCCTACAGGAGGCATTGCAGGGCTCCAGCCACAGAGCGAGACCCCATCAACTCTATTTAATCCAACTTGTTGATTCTGGAGAAACGGAAAGCAAGGATGAGTGTTTCAGCAGACAGGCAGTGGAATGAGTAGATGTGGGTGATTAACACAGTAATTTAAGTAGCATATAGAATCACAGGTTCAGTTTGACATTGAATAGAATGCTGACTTTGCCAACAATGTGCTTCAATCAAAGACAATGATCAGAGATGGGGATGAAATTGACGTAAAAGATATAGAGGTGATGGTGGAAACCGGAGACATTTTTGTACTTTCTAATGTTTAATACTGTGGCTCCTTCAAGCCAGATATTAGTATATAGGTAGTGGAGGGGTCATACATATTAGAGCTTACTATCTCAGCATATGTTTAGGTTCAAACCCCAAAACAGCAGATGGTGAACTTTCAAATTAATTTTAAAAATTTGTAATTACAAATAAAAGAGCTAACCCAATGACAACCATGTAACCACTGTCAACTGTCATTTCAAACCCATCTGGTTCACAACTAGCCTTGAAGGGAGGAAATCTGTCATCTTCACCTGGTGTGGCTCTAGAACCGCAACACTTTTTAGTGGACTAAAGAGTAACACTTTGCTGTGGTCTCACAAGACACTCAGTTCAAGGACAATAGGGATAGATAATAGCAATGCTCACATTTCATGAAAAAATAAAAGTATAGATGAGAACACGTAGAATTGGTCCTTAAGTTTCTGGGGTCACTGCTGCAAACTCTGGAACAGAAACTTACATTTTTCATTCTATAAGAAATTGAGACAATTTTTCTTCTTTTGCACCTGAGCACAAGGAATACGTACAGGTAAAAACAAAACCAGGAGAGATGCCTATCATGGATTCTGCCCAACTTTTCCATCTATTCAAACACACAGGTTGAAAGTCAGGGAATCTCTGTTGTAGATTTGCAATTCTTCCAGTCTGCCTTTCCTCTCTACCCCTCTTAATTAAATCCATTCACTAGGAATATTTATTCAGTAACATTAATTATAAGTCATTCTTACCTTTTCACACTGTGAGCTAGTTTTTCCAATTCTGTATTTTGCAACATAGAATCTCGAATAAAGTTCATAATCACAGATTCAAACTGGCGAATCAGCCTGGGTTCTACTGTTTTCAGGTTCTCGTGAAGGGCAGCAACTTGTGCAGGTCTGTTTGAAAATATAATAAATGAGAGATGAGGCATAACAAGCAACTTCCCAGAGCACTGTCAAATGGTGATGTTGTCACCGTTATCTGCAGCCTAGTCCTGCATGTTTCAACAACATGTGGGATCTCTTTACACCTAGCCTTCTGAGTAAAAATCTCTTAAAAATTTGTTGATTTGTGTCCAACAGTTGGAGGATTCACACCAAGCACCTAACACACATGCCTTCACACGAACTTTAAACACAGCAAATTAAGTAATGCCACATGTTAACAACTAATAAGATAGAAAGGCATTAAACAGGACAAGTGTATCTCAATCCAAGCCATTTTCCATTACAGCAAGTTCAGAGTTTTCCAAATTCCATGATCTGGCATTGTAATCATGCTCACCACAGAAATGTAAATAAAGATTTATTGGAACTACCCAGTTTCTGTTGCAGGTTAGTACAGTGTTTACATTTCTGTTTGAACATGCTACATGCAAATATTATACAAACTGTCAAGATGATACATTCTGGTAAGGATGTAGATGGTGAAAAAAAGGAAAAAGAGATAGGACACATCCTACAGCATTAAAGGAAGTAGCTGCAGAGACAGTTGATGCACTGATTGTAACCTTCCAGGTATCCTCAGATTCTGGAAAAGTGCCAGAGGATTAGAAAATTGCCAATGTAACACCTTTATTTAAAATGGGAAGGAGACTAAAAACACAACTGTAGGCAATTAGCTTAAAATATGTTAGCCGGAAAATGTTAGAGTCTACTGTAAAGGATATTAGCGGACAGTATTTAGGAATACATGATATGGTCAAGCAAAGTCATGCCTGATAAATTTACTGAAATTCTTTGCCAACATAACAGGCAGGATAAAAGCTGAAATAGTGCATATGCATATATTTGAATTTCCATAAGGTTTTTGATAAGGTACCACATGTTCGGCTACTTAAGGAGATAAGAGCCCATGAATTGGCAAATTAATAGACGAGTTAGGATAAGGGGAAAGTTACACGATGGCAACCTGTAACTAGTGGAGTGCCAGATGAATCATTGTAAATAATTGTGGCCCTAGCAATGTACATTAATGACTTGCATGAGGAATGTGAACTTACTTTGGGCAAGTTTGTGAACAACACAAAAATAAACAGGTAGTTCCGAGGATGACACAATTAGTCTGCAAAGGGGTACAGGCAAGTTAAGCAAGTGGGCAAAAAAGTTTGATAGATGGAAGGTAATGCGGAGGTTACACACTTTGGCTTGAAAAATAAAGGATAATAATATTACTTCAGTGAAAGACTGAAGAAAGCTATTTCATAATTCACAAAAACCAGAAGACAAGTTCAGCAGATAGAGAAACCAAATAGAATGTTATCCTTTGAAATAAAATTTATGAAGTATAAAATGAGGAAAGTCTTGCTAAAACTATGCAAGGCACTGGTTAGACCACACCTGGAATGTTGTGAACAGTTTTGGGTCCCTTATCTAAGGGAAGATGTACTGACATTGGAGCTAGTCCAGAGAGGGTGTAGTGGGCTGATCCTGGTATGCAGGGACTGTGTTATGTGGGGTGCTTGAGCAGGTTATACCTTACTCATTACAGTTTAGAAGAATGAGAGGTGTCCTTATTGAAACTTACAAGATTCTGAAAGGATTTGACAGCGTAGATGCAGAAAGTTAATTTCCCCTGTGGAGAGTCTATGATGAGAGGGAATAAACTCCGAGTAAGCGGTCACCTTTTTAAGGCAGATAAGAGGAGGTAGGAATTTCTTCTCTCAGACAGCAGTAAGGCTTTCGAGGCTGTGGTCATTAATTTTTCAAGAGTTTCTCCAGCAAGATGAACAACATAAAACGTGGAAATTCATGTCAAAATGATTTCTATGATTTCCATATGTGAGGACTTCAACAGCGTATCATGTGGAGGAATGGCTGACTGAAACCTCTGGATTTCTATATCATAACTTTGCACATGTCAATGCCAGAAGTTGGTGTCCATTTCAAAGAAAAATGATGCCAGCACTGACAGTTTTGTCATCATTAAATCTGCAAAATCTGGGCAATTTTTTTCAGTAGAATTATCTCAAGTAACTGGGGGTCCCTAAATTATTAAATGAAAGTCAGTCAGAAACCCAAAAATATCCAGCATCAAATTTGGCATTAACTTAATTCCTCCACACTATCAGAATAAATAACTTATCCAAAATCCAGATTTCTGAAATGCAAAGAGCAATAATACACTGGCATTAATCAATAATTCAAAAAAAAATTATGAAATTATCTATTCAACAACATTTGGAAATTAACAAAATAAATTGAACAATTTATCCAAAATGGTTGTGGCAACAATATATACAGTACTGACATTCAGACATAGTCTGCTGAAAGCATGGCACCAAAACAGCTAAAATGTGTATCTATAAAAACAGCAACACATGCGAGTGCAAATGATCATGATTCCAAAACTTGGAATAATCTTAATATAAAATTGAGTTCCCTACTTTTAAATGCTGTATAATATTCTGGTACCACATTAGTGAAGCCCTAACACTAATCCTAACACATTTTTCTTCCCAAAATGTCCGAAATATCAGTCATATCCATTTCAACTTAAAGTTAAATCCTACATTAATTTTACAATAGGTTATGCATGGCACTGACTGCTTATCCACATAGACAGAAGAGGGCATCAGAGACAGCTTTTGCTAGTAGTCGAATGAGGTTTTCCACGATCCTCTAATGACCAAACAGCAAAAAAGAGATGTTAACAAGCCTTACTTCAAGTTTTGCAAAATGTTGGTTAATTTCTACAGTGAGTATTGTCGCTACATTATATTTCAGTGCAGATTTTTGTTTCTAAAATTAATTTAGAAGCAGCTCTAAACCCAATTATTTCAATGAAAATACAGAATAGCAGATGTGAAAAAAAATTCAAATCGATACACAGAGGGCTGAATTTTCCTAGTTCCTGAAAGTCAGGGACAAATGATTTGAGAAAATATGGAAGATCAGAAAAATTAGGTTCCCAACATTGAGAAAAGATTCAGATTTTCCATCCAGGGTTTGAACAGCAAGGTGAAAATCTCACTAGTGAGCAGCAATAGGCTCTCATGAGAACCAAACTTACCTCAATTAAATACAATTTCCATTCTTTCACATGGCAGAGAGAAGCTCGATGGCAAACTGTTCGGATATGAAAATCAGTGCAGGTACGTGGCAGCTCCTGCTCACCACTTGTTCCTCTGAGCCTCGGCCAGTAATCCCCAATATCGTAGGGCACACACCAAGCAGTGACTGCGCACCCAGTTGCTCAGTGATGGAAGTTGGCATCAAATGTACACCAGGGTCACTACATCATCAAGGCAGCTTTCGGACTAAGTTGGAGTACAGTTCAACACTTATATGCAGCAATCTGGAGCACACTGACACCTTACATTGCAAACTTGCTGCCAGGCTGCTTTATACACACACGAGTTGGCAACTAACTCATTCATCAGAACAGGATGCAACCCAGGGCTCTTCGCCTACCCTCTTAGTGCTCTCATACTCTGCACCTACTTGGATGCTCACCACATCTGTCTGCCCTTTTTGCACATTGCCACATCATTCAGTACTTCTCTCATCTTCTATTTTAGTAAAGACATGTGGCCAGACAGCTTGCCATAGCGGATAGCTGTGATCAGTCAAATGATGGGAGGGGTAGGGTGGACACGTCGCTTTATGGCACTGTGCTACATCAAAGTCACTCCTCCAGTATATGCCAGCAACTTGCACGGCGAATGCACTGTATATGTTTCAGCCAAATGGCTATGTTTCAAATCTAAATGGAAGAGTTGTGGCTGTCCTTCCGATTCAGTTAGTGAGGTTGTCCCTGGCAGTCCTAAAACAATGACAAGATGTTATGCTACCCAGGCGTTAGGGAAAAAGACGCTGCCTGTCAACCATACCATCTGAAAACACAGAATTAGTTTTCACATGTAAGCCATTGACACAGAATTCTACCTCATCTCTTCTTTCCATTCCTCTACTGTTACTACATTATCAGACGGCCCATCTTATATTCATATTATAGAAGTAGAAAATTCCTGCAATCAATTAGAAGGAAGTCTAAAGCTAATGTTTTCAGTCTCTGCTTCAAACTCTGCTCCCTAGGTACCAACTTTATCTTTCTCACTAGAACATTCTGAGATTAAACCACTCTCTCTACAACCTTGGTGTGATATCTGACCCCAAGATGAGGCTCTGACCTCATATTCGCACCATCACTAAGACCACTTATTTCCACCTCTTTAGCATTGTCCAACTTTGACCTGTCTCAGCTCATCTGCCACTGAAATCCTCATTGGTGTCTTTGTTACAGCTTCATGTAACTATTGCAACAAACTCCTGGTTGGTGTCTCAAATTCTACCCTCTGAAAACTCAAGGTCATCGAAACTCTGTTTTTTTCCTTAAATCACACCAGGTTCCTTTCATCTATCAGCCCTGTGCTTGCTGACATACATTGGTACTCAGTCAAGCAACATCTTGATTTTGAAATTCTCGTCCTTCTTGTCAAATCACTACATATCCCTCCCCAACTCTAATCTCCTCCAGTTCCACAACTCCCTGGGATATCTGTCTCTAACTCATAATACCTGAGCATTGCTGGTTTTAATTGCTCCACTAACAGCAGCCAAGCCTTCAGATGCCTTGGCCCTAAGTTCAGGAATATTCTGCCTATACCTTTCTGCCTCTGCACCTCACACCCTTTAAGAAACTCCTCAAAGCTTACCTCTTTGACCAACCATTTGGTCGTCTTAAATAATACTTCTGTCATATTTTGGTTCAGAGCAGCATAATGATACACCTTGCGATGTTTTCTTGTATATGCTTACAAATAATAAAATGTTCTGTATTGTGCCTTGAAGTGAGTCGTGCATTTACAAAACCAAAACCATTCAAAAAATCCTGGTATTAAATATATTATTTAACATCAGATTACTGATCAAAGGGCTGCAATAGCAATTTCCAA